TTCCTTTCCTTTCCTTTCCTTTCCTTTCCTTTCCTTTCCTTTCCTTTTCCCCCCTTTTCTTTTTTCTTCCCTCCCCTGAGTTTCCTGTTTATGCTGATTAAGCCCCAGCACTGGATCCTTCACTCCATTACCCAGCCTTGGACAAAGACTGGTTCCCATGGGGCGAGGGTGGTTTTATTGCTCCAGCTGAAGCAGGATGAGGCCCATGGGGCTGAGCAGCCCTGGCAAGGGTGCCGTGTGCTGCCCCCACCCACTGGTTCCATCTGCAGTAAAACACAGGGTGCCCCTGCCCACTTCAGGTGGGTGACATTCCCAGGCAGTGGCCCAGGCAGGCCAGGAGGACGAGGCAGGGAACGGGCACAGCCGATGGATACACCGCCATTTGTGTGAAAAATTCTCAGGGAAAATTCTTTCTCTCCCTCTCAGGCCCCTAAACTCTTTGTGAATGGGGCCAGTGCAACATGTGGCCTTTCACCTCACCCAAGAACCACTGCCAGACAGCCACACTCAGAGAATTGTTTGTTAATAGTCCAATTAGATAATTGCCATCTTTCACTCCTTTTGCTCTACATTTCCCATAAAGGAATGAATAAGGAGAGCAGCATGAAGAGGGCTTCTGCCCTGCAAGGTGACAAGGAGGACTGGAGCATGCTCTTTGCACAAGGCCATTTGCTTGAATTGAATCATTGTAGCCTAATCAATGGTCTTATTGGATTACTGGCTGTTGCGGTTCTCAGAGATATTGTAGCAGAGACAATGGAATAGCTAGAGTAAAACTTTTTTCTCCTTTAGTGGATCACACAGTTGAGATTTTTCACGGGCTATCTCTCTCTCTCTCCCTCCTTCCTTCCCTCCCTCTCTCTCCCTCTTTCTCCCCCTCTCCCTTTCTCCCCCCCTCCTGGATCCACTGCACACAAAGCTGGCTCTTTTTTTTTTTTTTTTCAATGAGCAGGCTCTGCGAATAGGTTCAGTGTTTGCGAAGGTGCAGAATTAGCAGACACACATGCACGCACACATACACACACACACAGAGGGAGAAGCACAAAAAGCAAGTATCGGGACTGAAATAAGGAGAGGTAGGAGTTTAAGATGGCTGTCTGTGGGGAGATGTGATAACGAGGATTTCTACTGGTCAAGATAACCTGCTTCCTTGGAGAGATCTGCTTGAAGGAAGAACTTTTTGTGTGTGTGCGTGCTGGGGACCTGTTTGTTTGTTTGGAATTCAGGGGGCTTTTTTTTTTTTTTCTTTTTCTGCACCCCCCCTGCAACTGCATTTTTCCAGCCCTTCCTAGCAGCTTTATTCAGATTTATTTGGCGTGCTTTGGAGAAAGCCACTATATAATCGGGAGGTCAAAGGCATACTGAAGAAAGTTAATAATGGCTGCTAATGGTGCTAACAATTCAGGGTGAATCTTGTCAAAAGTTTTTTTTTTTTTTTCCCTCTCCCCCACCCTTTTTTTTCTTTCTCCTTTTTTTTTTTTTTTTTTTTTCTGGAAGTCTCAGTCTTTTGATTGTGTGTTTCCTGAAAGCAAGACCAATCATTTCAGTTTATTCACTGGCTAAACTCTACTTGATTGGGGACAAGCACACAAACCATCCATTACGATCTGATATATTATCCAAACAATTTAGTGTATTCATGAGGTAACCTAAATGTGGAGGCTGCAAAATTACCCGTAATCAATTGAAACAGCGAGTGCGCGTCCCTCTGTGTGTCTAACAACTACATGTCTCTGTAATAAGGCAGACATTAAATCATTTTAGAGTTGTACTGTTGAGTACCTGATCACTGGGCGCTCTGGGAAGCCGGACAGTCACATTAGGACGCTGGGACTGAGGAAGCCGCTGCTTTTCCAGTGGGATAAAAACCGATCTTCCTTACTCAAGGTGCTTTACAGATCCCCACCGATCTGACCCTAAGCCGTGCAATATCCAGCATAGACTTCGTCTTCTTCTTCTTCTACTCTTCTGTAATTTTTTCGTTATCGTTGTTGGTTTTTTTTGTTTTGTTTTTATTGCACTACATGTTTGGGAAACAAGACAAAATGGACGTTAGATGCAGTTCAGAGACTGAAGCTAACCGAGTCTCGAAGAACGGACATAAAGAGGGCAAGGAAAGCAAAGGGTCTGAAGGAAATATTTCTACTTCTTTTTTGAAGGATCAGCAAGGGACTTTTTCTGCCTCTGCAGCTACGGAAGGTTGTAATAAAAGTAAATCTAGTTCGGCTGATCCGGACTATTGCAGGAGGATCCTAGTTAGAGGTATGAGTTTGAGGTGTTTGGCGAGGGTGGGGGAAGGTGAGCCGTGCTCACGCCCGGGAGATGGGTTTGTTTTGTTGCTTTGCCTTTGGTCCGGCCCTGGGTTGAAAGCCCTTTCCCAGGGCTGCGGGGGAGAGCCCCGGCTGCCCGGGCGGGCTGTGCCCGCAGCCCCGCTCCCGGCGGCTTTATCGCCTGAATTTCCGCCGCGCCTCGGGGAAAAGTTAAGCCGCGCCGGTTCCTGCCCGGCGCTGCCCCGTCGCGGGCCAGCCCCGCTTATTGTTGGTTGGTTGTTGGGGTATTTTTCCTTTCCTGCTTTCCAGCCTTCCTGGGGTGCCGGTCCCCGCGGGGAGCCCCCGGGGACAGCGTTCCCTCGGGGGCCCGCGGCTCTGCCCCGCGGGCAGGGCGCTCCTTCCGCGCCCGCGCATCCCGCGCATCCCGCACGCCGCGGACGATTGCGCGGGGCTGCTGGCAGCAAGGCCCTCTCGGAGGGCAGGGGCTTGCCCCTGTACCCCCTCTCTCTCCGCGCCCAGAGGAAAGGGCTGTTTTTAAAACCATCAGCCTTTAAAACGAATGGACGAAGGGATGTTTAAATACTACTTTTTAATAGTTATATGTCAAATCCTTTCACAACCTTCGTCCTCCTCCTGGCTTAAATAATTAAATTACCCTATTCGTACCCCCTCCAAAAAAAAAAAAAAAATTAAATTACCTGAAGAAATTTCAGTTTTATTAAGGTGCGTTTTGGGGGAGGAGGGAGAGAAAAGAGTTGGAACAAAATCGGTGGGAAGCAGGCCTTGGAAGTCAGATTTAATCCTTGCGCCACTGGCTGACCCAGAGAGGGGTCAGATTAAAATGATGTGATTGTCTCTGATTTAAAACGTACCGAGGAGGTAAAATTACGGCAAGTAAAGTTGGGAAGGCTTTAAGGTAACCTGAATCTGGCTCTAGCTTGACAGTCGTGTTAATAAGATTTGTCCCGCTTTCCTTCAGTTGAGGCTACCAGAAAACTGAGGTTTCTGCGGCTGGTTGGTGCCTTGGTTTCTTTTTTTTTTTTTTTCACCCCCTTGCTTCTCCTCTTTGCCAAAACCCCAAAGCGGTGTGGGCAGCAGTGCAAGGTGGGCTGGAGGTGTCCCCACATTCGCGGTGGCAGGCAGCCAGCTCAGGGCAGCGCTGCCTCTGCCCAGAAAGCTTCTGCCTGTTTTTCTTTCTTTTTTTTTTTTTTTTTTTTTTTCCCAAAAAGAAAATTTTTTTTTTATAAAAATTTTTTAAAAAAAAAAAAAAAAGAAAAGAAAAAAGAAAGATGGTTTTATATTTTTGGAGGTGTCGAGGTGCATGTGGTGGCTGCCAGCAAGTCCTAACCCGGAGCCCAAGGGGAACAAAGAGTAGCCCTGCACTCCAGGCACAAAGCATGGCTGGAGGATATTTCTCTCCCCAGCTTCCCAGAAGGGCCATGGATGATGCCGCAGTGTCGTACTGTGATAGCAATATATTCAAACTAATTTTTAAATGGGCTGAGGGGATTAATTATAAAGCCCTAGGCCCCCATCACCCCCTCCTTCCTTCTCTGTTGTGGGTAGTGGGTTTTTTTCCTTCCTTGGGTGTAACGGCCAGGTGCAGTGCCACAGTCACAGGGATCCTGTTCCATCCCGACTACAGTCTCGGTCTTGAAGGCGATGGGGACGGCTCTTTCCGTTGGAAAAATTAAAAAAAAAAAAAAAACAAAAAAATAAGAAAGAAAAAAAAAAAAGAAAAAGGAGACGAGGGTTGCCTGGGTATGAAGCTGAGTGCGCCTTTCTTTGCCAGATGCCAAAGGTTCAATCCGAGAGATTATTCTGCCTAAGGGGCTGGATCTGGACCGTCCCAAGCGGACCCGCACCTCCTTCACGGCCGAGCAACTCTACCGCCTGGAGATGGAGTTTCAGCGCTGCCAGTACGTCGTGGGGCGGGAGCGCACCGAGCTCGCCCGCCAGCTCAATCTCTCTGAGACTCAGGTAACCCCAGAGGGACGGGGAGCCCCCACTGCCTTGTCCTGCCCTGCCCTCCGCCGCGGTACCCCCCTCCCGGCCCGGGCATCCCCCCGGCCCTGCGCGCCCCAAGGACAGGCCGACCCCGCGGCACAGCCCCCGGGGCTGTCGGGCAGGGCCGCGGGGCCGTGGAGAGGCGAAGCTTCCCCAGAGGAGCCCACGCGTGTCCGGTGGCGGGGGGAGGGCCGCAGTTCCCCGGCGAGAAGGAGCCGGGGGGGTTCGTGGCTGAGGCGAGGGACGTACAACTCTGTGAGGCTGGGGAAGGGCAGCCGCTGGCAAAGGGGGTCCCCGTATCCCCGCACACAGCCCCCCGGGGGCTCTCCCCGTGGGCGAGGCGGCGCGGCTCGAGGGATCCGAGCCACGAAGCCAAACCCCTCCCGGGTCGGACGCGGCTCCCCCGCACCTCCGACCCGTCCCAACCCCGCGGGGCTCGGTGTCCTCCGGGGCTCGGTGTCCCCCCGGCTGCGCGGGGCCAGCCGCCCCCGGGCGCGGAGATGCGCTGCTGCGGCCAGGGGGAAGGGAGCAGAGGCCGAGAGGGATACAGCCGCTCAAACCCGGAGGGGCAGGCGGGCTCCTTCTCTCGGGGCTGCAGGGTTAGAGACGTTCGGTCTGAGCTTTCCTGGCTACGAGAGATCCGGGGACAGGGCTGAAGTTTGGGCCGTATTTTGAGTTCCTTGTATGTCCGAGGGCCAGAACCACCCCTCCAACCTCCAGGGCAAAAAGGCCGGGGGCGGCCACGCGGGTTAAAATTACGCGAGAGCACTGGGAAGCATCTAAAAAGTCCAAACTTCTAAAAGCCGGTTTCATATTTCCTCAAAACATCATATAACAATAAATTCCCCTGACACGTTAATTAGCTTTTTTCTTTCCTTGATGGGTAGGAATGACAAGTTCAATAGCTCGTAGGTTACAAAACCTGCCACGGGTGATTTTTGTTGTGTTTTGCTTTTGGTTTGGTTTTTTTTTTGAGTGACTTCTAGGATTTCTTTTTAAAGTTGAATATTATTTAAAATGGGTTGGAAGGTGGAGAGAGAGTGTCCAGGTTGGGATACGAGGGAAGAAGCGCGTTGCTGCTGTTACCCCCATGAAAGGGAGAGCCAGAGCTGAGCGGGCAGCAGCGCGGGGGCAGCGTGCAGGGACCCTGCGAGCAGGGTGAGGGGCCGCGGTGCGCCCAGGGCACTGGCAGAGCCGGCTTAGAATAAAGCCCTGGGGAAAGGTCTGAATACGGCTCTCAGAGAACTACTGACCGACAGCTAAAATAGGATAAAGTGAGAGAGGTCCGGTTAAAGATGCAGAGCTAAGGGCTCCCACATCCCCCTCGGCCCGCCTCGGGGCACTCCGAAACCTGGCACAGACAGGCCATGGGGGTTCTGTGCGTGTCGCTTTGTGCGTTTTGGAAGCGCTCCCCGCTCCCAAGTGTCTGTCGGCCCTCCCGCCCTCCCTCCCCCGCATCGCCCCGCGCCCCGCGGAGCCGAGCCGGGGTCCCGGGGCACCTGGCGGGGGGCGCCGTGCCCGCCGCCCCGCTGACCCTGCCTCTCTCCCCGTCAGGTCAAGGTCTGGTTCCAGAACCGGCGCACCAAGCAGAAGAAGGACCAGGGCAAGGACTCCGAGCTGCGGTCGGTGGTGTCCGAGACCGCCGCCACCTGCAGCGTCCTGCGGCTGCTGGAGCAAGGCCGGCTGCTGTCGCCGCCGGGGCTGCCCGGGCTCCTGCCGCCCTGTGCCAGCGGCGCGCTGGGCTCGGCGCTGCGCGGGCCCGGCCTGGCCTCGGCGGGCAGCGGCTCCTCGGCGGCG